ATGCAATATGTACCCCTCTTGTTCATGATCGCTGTGTACTGCCACACAACCTTCGGTGGCGTATATAAGAAGTATCGGGTCTTCAACAAGATCATTCACAAACATCTGTTAGAAACATTAAACGATGCGTCCTCTACTGGTCAGTCAGAACTTATGACTGCAAATTCCAACACTGCTTTTGAAATACACCAAGAAATTGGTGACAATTCAATGAATACATTTTCTGTAAAGAACTCAAACATCATGTGGTGCAGCAGTCGCATAGTGTTATTTGTAGACAAACACGGCACGCTGTATATAAGGAGGAACTTTTTCTTTCAATGCTGTGAAATGGATCACTTTGCGGCCCCGGGTACCTTGCTTTCGAACTTAAGTAAGGCTATTTTCAGGTTCTTACTGATTATAGTCTTCTTAATGTTTGTTGGACTAGTAGTAACAGCATTTAGTGAGGAGTTCGAACTGTCCCTCACCAATCAAACGTTCATTACAATTGCAGGAGGGTTGATTCCATTCGTGCTGACCAATTTCCTGTTCCGGAATGTGGAATTACCCACTGTCGAAGAAAAGGATGTTAGGTTTAAAAGGTGTCTCAATGAAATTATTTCCAAATACGTGGAAAGATTTCCAGTCGTTGACATTGAGTGCAAGCCTCTAACTTATTCTGACTCACAACAGAACACTAGAAAACTAAACGAAACATCACCAAATAGCGCGGGAAGCGGTGATCACGTGATCGTGATATGTGATGATGTGATGGACCTATCGTCTAAAACTCGGTCATGTTCGTCATCTGGTTTTGGAAATCTAAAATATGCTGAAGATTCGGATCAATATCAAAAAGAGGACAAGGAGCAAGTCATCAATGAAAAAACGGTCCAATGCCGTGAGGACGAATCTACGGCAAAACATCAGAAAAAGTCCAACAGTAAGAATATACAAAACGGTGTCGAAGAAATAATATCTGACCATTCGGCATCAAAAGTTGAATTGTTAGATACCAATGAGGTTCCTGTGGGCAAGGAAGCAAGAAAGGTTCAAGACAATCCAAAGCGGGCTAACGTAGGAGGAAGGGTAAATACTGAATTCCAACTTCAAGACTACGACCTTGTCATTGATGTACGAAAAGAAAAATCCGTGAAACAGTACTTTAGGTCGCTTATCTAACCGACGCCTTCGCACAAGGCGCCTTGGCGAATTATGCACGACTTCCCGTAAATAAATAAACTGCACAGACACCTGCACCTTTTAAATCAGACATTGGTACAAGTGACGGATGTCTCAAAACCTGGAAGAGGGCAACTGCCAACTCGAAACACTTGTTACATAACCGATCAACATTGGAACTGTTTACTTCATGTACATTGTAGATATTTATTTTGTTTGTTTGTTAGGGATTTATTATCCTTGACAGAGCTAGGGTTATACGAAGACAGATGCCTAAGGAAACACCGACGAAAGGAAAGAAAGGGTGAAGAAAAGAGCAAAGAATGGATAACGATCATCAATGTTTTATAATAATAATTAATAGTTCGGGTTCTTATATACTGCTTTATCACACCTTAGTTCGTAGGTCGTCTCAAAGCTGTTCACAAATTATTATCCGTGGTTATAGGGCCTTCGCAAGCAGATACTATCTTTCTCAACTTAATGGGGAGCACACAGCCGCTGCTGCCATTTAGGCGCTCACAGCTAGCATTCAACAAAGCCAGCCCTACCTAACGACGTTCTTATTTAGAGCTGACTAGACTGGAACAAGCTGAGTAAAGTATCTTGTTCACGGATACAACACTGAAGGTTTGAACGCCAATTTTTTTCAATTCAATGCTGGTATGAACGCAAATCGGTTACATACATATTCCGTGAACCCTAGCGGGCTTCATGGTAAATATGTATGTAACCGATTTTGAAATGAACGCAATCGGTAACAAACATACTCCCTAGCGGGCTTCATGGTAAATATGTATGCAACAGATTTGCGTTCGTACCGGCATCAAAATGCCGTTCTATCATTATATTTACACTATATATTGTTTACGTAGTATAACTCCCCGCAACGAAGTTAGAGGGGTATACTGAAATTAGTTTGTCAGTCCGTCCGTCTATCTGTCCGTAGAAAACGTTTGTCCGGACAGCTCCTTCTAAAGTTATGGATTGTTACCAGTTTTGATAATCACCTTTTTTTACAAAGTTATGGCCCTTTGATGAAAATACCACCTGATATTGTGCATCTAGGTATTATTTTTTCATTCTGACTCTTTTTACGAAGTTATTGCCCTTTGTTGAAAATACTTGCCCGCACAACTTCTCCTAATCTACTGGGCCAATTTCAAAGTTTACAGGTATGGCAAGTGTCGCCTGACGTTGTGCACCCAAGTAGTACTTTTCATTGCGACCCTTTTAAAAGGAGTTATGGCCCTTTGTTAAAAATATTCAAACTGGCATCTCTTCCTTAACTCAAATTAAGCAAAACCCGTTCATCTGGGCTTACAAGATTTGGTTTGCAAGTACGTTTTGGCATTGCGAGGGAGTAAATGAAGTATGTCAGTGACCTATAAACTTAAATTAGTGTAAAGCTCAGTCAAGAAAGAAACCATTACTGGTGGGAGACCATGGATCGCTTTGCAATGCTTTGCCTCAGTAAGCCTTTAACTCACAGTTTTGGTTAATACAGGAGCGGGGTATTAGTTAGCCTTTGGCTTACAGTTCTAGATATTGCCCTAAATAGAGATATTCGCTTATACCTCTTATTTGAAATGTTTATGGCGTCATTGCAAACAAGATTCCTGGAACACCTTACGTCATCAAAATGTTTTCTTCTAGCGGCTGTGTGATGTTATTCGAGACGGGATGAGAAGCTTTGAAATGGCACTGATTCAATTGCGTTCAAATCCCTTTGAACGCAATCTCTAATGGTACATTGTAGTACTCATAGAGGACTTGCAGTGGAAATGTAAACATAGTGCCATGTCGGGACTCGAACCTACGATCCTTCGGTCACTAGACCGGCGTCCTATCACTAGACGATCGCGCTGTGCTAAGGGCAGCAAATCAGTTATGGTTTATTCCATGTCCCTTAATCAGTTAAGTGAGATGAGAAAAACCCTGTCATGCCTATACTGAAGGAAAGACTCATAGAAGAGCGCAGGTATATACTTTTTCTGCTTCTACTAATACCATATACTGACCTACTTCATCAAACTATAGATGACGTCAGAGTTCTGCATAGCAAGCATACTTAACGAGGGAGGTTTACATAAATAAGGATATTAATATTTATAGGATGAAAGAGCAGTCTTGAGTGAGTCGATTGTCTAACAATTTTACATTTTATTATAAAATCATTTCAATTTTTAAGGAATAATTTATTGAATCATTGGTTATAGTTTGAATGTCTTGTAGAGTGAGGCACTCCGTTGAACGTATAATTTTATTTGGTCTTTGACAGAAATAAAGGTTTTTTTTAAACTATCAGGGTATATTTTTACTTTTTACCAGTATACAAATGCTAGACAAATTCTTGACTCGAGGAGATATTTGCACTTAATATAATTTTCATCAAAATAAACCAATAAAAATGAGAAAAAATACTTGATACTTCCTTGTAAAATATACCAATATGATTAAGCAGAAAATGTAATGCAATTTGGCAAAAAACAACGACTTTCTTAAAAAAAAGCAACCGGGCACAAGGGTCACGAATAAATGAAATACTTTGAAATTCAAAATCATTTCTGGTTGATTGTTAAGTCCTCGAGGTTTTTTGAACACTTGATAGGCACAGTAATTTCTTACCTGTATCAAATGATAAATTTGCTATTAACTTTTTGTGTCTTACGTACATCTTTTGAAATATAATTAAATGTGATTTGGGTTACATATTCAGTCGTTGATTATTTCCATTTCATGTCCCTGTAGTTTTAACCTGAAACCTAATACACAACTTTATAACTTCCATATCTATAATCAGTGGATGAATCGTTATGAAGTTAAATGCAAGGGACACTCCCACCAAGGTTGACAATTTCGCATAAAGAAAATTAACATCTTTTGAATTTTAAACCTGTTGGAATGCAATGAAAATTTATCGTTGATTTTATTTAGTGGATATTTCTTCTTAACCTAGCCTTCTATAGCTAGCCTTTAGCCTTCTATAGTTTGCATTCTATATCTAGCCTTCTATAGTTAGCCTTCTATAGTTAGCCTTCTATAGCTAGCCTTCTATAGTTAGCCTTCTATAGCTAGCCTTCTAAACCTAGCCTTCTATAGCTAGCCTTTAGCCTTCTGTAGTTAGCATTCTATAGCTAGCCTTCTATAGTTAGCCTTCTAGATCTAGCATTCTATAGCTAGCCTTCTAGAGCTAGCCTTCTATAGTTAGCCTTTGAATTGTTTTTCGATCCAAGATAAAACATGGCTGCCACGGCCTCTGATTAGTAGAAAATATTGTCTGATATCACTCAAATATTGTATGCAGAATTATAATTTGTACTGCCACAGCTACAGCATTCTCCATTTTTTATTGTAGGAGATTGTCGTGGTATGGGGGTCGCTAATTGGCCAATTTATACATATTGTCCGATTTTGCTCATATTTGGTACATTTCTTTTCCTGTATGTCGGCATTATGAACTCATCTACGACATCCGCTTATTGTCAACTTATTATTAGAGGAACGTCATTGCATGACTCCTGATTGTCCGGAACTATTAATGTTATCTTATTTCACCAAATAGTTGAAACACATGCTACTTCTACTATACTTTCTGTTTCGCAATCGAACAAGATGGCCTCCGTTATATTGCTTGTGATTGGTCGAAATGTTGCTAAACGTTCTATCTTAAACTAAAAATTAAGTATGGAGGGGCACATTAAGATGTGACAGAAACCCATTGTCACAACTGAGCATCCATCCTAGATGGCATTGATAAAAATCAAAGCTAAATTAAAAAAGGACAATTTGAAAACTTTTTAAACAAGTTTATTATATTATTGATTTAAAGCATCAAACATCTTTGTGGTCACTCACTGTCACACAACTTGCATGGCATACATAATAATTTATTTACTGATATTTGTGAGGCATCTTCTTAACTTTCAAACCAAACATATCCAAGTGTTTAGGTGACCCTATTTAACAACACGTTCTGAGATTCTGCCTCATACACACTCACAGCAAGCATTTCATTGATCTGTCCAATACAAATCTCTATCTCTTCATGTAACAACGAAATTAAAACCTCAATAATAGATCGCTTTATGTGTGATATAAGGGAAGTCAGGTTATACACCTAGAGAACGAACAGGTCAATTTAAGCCAGAGACGCTGGTTCATTGCAAGTTTTGAAATCAATGACCTTGCTTTTGAATATTGAAAAGATGAAAAGAACATATTTCAGACTTAAATAAATGATCCTGATGTTTGGGAATAGCTGATTTGTAACAATGAATGTTTCATTGCCCTTTTATATTTACACAAGGTCCATGCCCAATATTTATGGGTAGATCAGGTTTTTAGAACAGTCTACTTGAGGATATAAGGTAAGTCAGGTTATACACCTAGAAAACAAGTCATTAGTACAAGGACGCTGATTTCAGATTTCATTGCAGGTTTTGAAATCAATGACATTTTTCTTGAGTATTGAAAAGGACATATTTCAAACTAAAATAAATGGGCCTGATGTTTCAGAATGGCTGATTTGTAAAAATTAATGATGACATTAATTTGGAACAATACTTCAAAACTAGAGTTGTAACAGAAACTATTTACAAAACCTGTAAACAATAAACCTGTGACATGTTTACATTAATTCCTCAAACATCATTGTTAGTCTATATAAGTGTTGATCAAGTGTATAAGATCATAATAACAAAGGTCAAAGTTTAATGTTAAAATTAACGTTTTTTTTGTATTTATCTGGTATAATTTGTCTGTATCATCACTCCAGGTTTAGTCACTCCTCAGTCACTGTAATACTTGAGAAGTTTGAGTTCCCACTCTCCTGTATCTAACATTAAGTTTGACCACAACACATCATCCTTCTGTATACCTACTGGTCCCTGTGTTCCTTTGTTTGTGTGAAGTGTTATTATGTACTTCCCTGCTCCACTTATCAGTTCTATTGTGTTCCTTGTCCAGTCAGTAATAACAATATTACCCTTTCTGTCATATACAACGGATACTGGACCAAACTTTTCTGGTGTGATCGCCTCCCGTGCCTGTATCCCCTCTCCCCGGTAGTGGACCAGGGGCTGGAGTGTTGGGTTGTACACAATGATGTGACGCCTGTAATTGTTGAGATCACTACTGTCTCCACTGATTAGTTTACTACTCACTACAGCTATGTTACTTGTAATACCACACTGTGTGATGGACAGTACTAACCCCATCCCTGACCCCTCCACAGTGGCTGTCTGTAACACCTGGCCATCTGCTGTGTACATCACCACCTTGTACCCCTGTGTACCCGCTGTACCCACCACTACCAGACCATCCCTGGTCACACACAGACTGCGTGGGTACCCCTCTGTAGTAAACCTTGTGACTGGTGTAGATGATGTAGAAACTTCACAGATAGTCCTCTCATCTCTACAACAGAACCACAGACGGCCTGTGGTGGGGTCCAGACTGATGTGTCTGATGTTACTGTAGTGTTGTATCTTTTGTATGACTTTAGGTTTGTTGGAGAAAAATTTACCTTTGTTGTTGATGAGTTTTACTGTGTTGGTTTTAAAATGACACAGCCATGCGCATCCAGTAGATGTAGGACAGATTGATGTGATTTCATCTTTACATTGGAACTGGGATATGACAGTTGGACTATCACAAAGTTTGTACAGGACTGCTCCAGTGGAGGTTTGACCCGTCTCTGTAGATTTGGACTGTTTAGGTCTCACAACTGGACATTGTTTGGAGTGACCACTACGTGCTAATCCTGCCTGGAGATGGTCAGTAGCTGTCTGCATTTTCCCCATGGCCCGCTCCAGGTGACTTTGTCTGTCGTTACATGGAGTAATTTCTGCCATGTCTATGTTAGGTGTCTGTGGGATATTTAAGTCCATGTCCTGGATTTCTGATACCGAGTCATACACATGTACAGCAGTGCCTGTCTGGAGGGTCTGTTTACACTCTGATGATAGTTTAACTAAAGTGTCTAACCTGTCCTCCAGTTTTGTGATGTGAATCTGAAGGAGGTCTGTGGTCCCCTTCTCCATCTTGTTACATATTGCTAAATAATCCTCTGTTATCTTATCTAAATACAATTTACATTGATCGCGCTGTTTTTTAATATCTATAGAGAGTTTTTGGTAGTTAGATTCACATGTCGAAATTTCTTTCCTTGCCGATTTGATTTCATTTTTGAGTTTGGGAATTTCAATGCTTTCTGTTTTATTCATAAAGTCTAGTAGTGTAATTTTTTTGTCATTTGTATTTTTTAAAATTTCTTGAAAGCTATCAATGTGTGTTTTGTGAGTCGTTATGGAACAAGTCGTACAGATCAGTAATCCACAGTCCTGACAGAGGAGAACCACCTCATTGTCCTTATGGTACAGACACTTTGTGTGGCCTTTGATCCTGACTGGAATTTGCGGACTTGGGCTGCTGTGTTTGGTTGCCATGGTTGTGGATGTGGGAGAAATAAAAGTGTACAGGGAAGTAACTTCTGGAGGATCTTGAGGTCTTCCTTTGTAAACCTGTGAAAGAAAAAGAAAAAATTAAATTTTGTATTGATTAAAAAGTGTGACTGTTTACAGTTAAATTTGAATTGTTTAGTTAAACAGATGAGTTATACTATATTACCCCAGACATTGTTCCGTACCGTCTATTATTTATTGTTTACTCAACTGCTCAATTCCTCATGTAAACAGAGGTTTGGCCTCCCATGGCAGAGGGAAGGGGCCCAGTACGGGTTATATAACATAAAAAACTTTTAATCCTATTCCTTGAGTATAGGGATGTTCACCTTAGTAAGTCTGGAGTATCCTTTGGCCAAGGGGACTCTATCAATGTTTATTGGCAGGATGTTACATTGTTGGGGGCAGAGGGGCGATGCTCATAAGAGGGGCAATACAGGAAAATCTTAAATCCTGTTTCTTGAGTAGGGATAGAGGGATTTTTTTCCACATTTATTGTGAAGTATGCTTTGGTCAAGGGATCTCTATCAGTTATCAGCTTAGGGCAAGTGTAACCTGCTTTGGAGCGGAGGAGAGACATAGGTTAGTCTATAAAATCCTGTTCTTTGAGTACAGGTAATGGTAATTTAAGCTAATTTGTGTTTGATTTTTAATAAATTAATGAATATTTACGTATATATGACTACACTTTCTGTTATTTGACCTCTGAAAATCGAAGGGCCCTGCTGTCAGAAATATATTTCATTTCTGCTTGACGTACAAATTAAATATATGTGTTTTTAGTTTTTATAGCGTAAAAGATTTATCTTATATTCCTGATGATAAAAGAAATTATGAAATCGCACCAGTTGACGATTTAGTCCTTTCGCGTAATGGTACATACAAACAGTATGTATACTACTTGTAACTTAAAGCAATTTTTTTTCCGTCAAGATATCGGTTTTGTTCTAGAAAGGTGGGGTCAACATTTGGCCTTGCATAACACCAGGTTGAGTGACAGGGTATCCTAACAAAATGACAGATAAATGTCACGGGAGAATGTTATTTTGAAAATGAATTATAATAGTGTACAGTGCATAACATTACTGTTATTTTGATACTAAATATGTCATACTGGTATACATGAAGTAAGCTTAGTGATACTTTTAATTAGAAAAACATGCAATTTTTTACATAATTCAAAATATAACCAACATTTTCAACTTGCCTATATATAGTTACAATGGTAGTCTATATTTTAAACTTCTTTAAAAACTTTCCATATACATTTTTTATGAAATATCAAAACCGGTAAAGTACTTTTTTAGCATGACAAACATGAGCAAAGGCCAATTTCACACAATCATGGAGATTTGATTATCAATGTTTTTTTATGGTAAATACCAATACATTTTCTGTTTTTGTATTATACCAAAACACTTTATTATATAACGTTTGTTTAAAAGTTATGTGCAACAGTAATAATTCTTGAATATGTATTCTGCCAAAGTAATCGTTCCTCTGGAGAATTACTTCAGGTTGAGATTGTGTTATAGACAACGATATGCAATAATATAATCTTAATAGTAAAACTATTATACACTTAATTATACCCCCCGCAACGAAGTTAGGGTGGTCCGTCCGTCTGTCCGTCCGTCGAAAAAGTTTGTCCGGACAACTCCTTCTAAAGTAATGGACCGATTTCAATAAACGTTCCCAGATATGATAACTACCACCTGAAGTTTTGCATGCAGGTATTGTTTTTTCAATCTGACCCCTTTTTTTAAGGAGAAATGACCCTTTGTTGAAAAACACTTGTCCAGACAACTCCTCCAAAACTATGGCGCCATTTCAACGGAGGTTTATAGATATGGTAACTGCCCCCTGACATTGTGCATCCAAGTAGTACGTTTTCATTCCGACCATTTAAGAGGAGTTATGTCCCTTTTTGAAAAAAACCTCTGTCTGCCTGATAAACTACAGGGCAGATTTCAAAGAAAGTTTACAGATATGGTAGTTACCCCCTGATGTCGTGCAGAATTTGGAATGTAAGAATGTTTGGCGTTGGGAGGGAGTACAAGAAGTAAGTCAGTGACCTATATAATTAAATAATCACCGATGGGTGACTATGGATTGCTTTACAATGCTTTGTCTTCGTTAGCCCTTTACTTACAGTTCTGGTTTATATAGGAGCGAGTGGTATTAGTTAATCTTTGGCTTACAGTTCTATTTTGCCTAATGCCCATTCACTAATCAAAATATGAAGGAATATTCCATTATTTTATATCGTTAACTCTAAAAAAATAAAGCAAGGACAGATATCCTTGTCTGACATACATTTTATTCTAGCAAATTTTATTTTGTGACCTTGAACTAGGGTCAATGTCATCAATGTTTACAAAACTTAAATCCATTCACATGAACAACCTACTTGTCAAATATCAAGACCCAATGACCTTTGGTCATGAAGAAACACAACTTAAAGGAAAAGTGGAAAGAAAGCTATGTTTTTTCTTTTTTTTTAATCAAAAATGACAAATTTACCGGTTGCCATTTTTTTTGAAATTCCTAGAGTTGAAAGTTATTATTAATAGCCAACTTTCAAGGAAGTATGAAAAATAGACTGATTTTAAAATTATGTAAATTAACGTGTCAAAAAAGGATATTTTTTCATTAGTAATGAAATTTCACATACTTTTCTTTTTTAATATTCAATAAAGAGAACAATTCATTCTTGGAATAGTGTAAAATTTGGTATCAAAATAACAGTTGGAATATATTGCACACGATGACGATATAATTTTAAGGTAATCGGGTCATTGAAATGCTCTATGAGGAATTGGATTACCACACCTTTAACACCCACACAGGTGTAAGTCAATGAAGTCGCATTTGTCATAAAATGAATTCTGAAAATAACTGTTCCTAATTTAAGCTTCCTATACCCATACCTTTTTGTATTTATATTGTTTTGAAATTCCAAGCGGGGGCCGACGCTAATGTTAAATCTCCATAGGCGTTGACCCTACCTTTATTTTACTTACAATATATTACAACTTAAAGTTTGAAGTGCTAATTAGAAATATCTAAAGAATGATGTGATCTTACCTTCACTTTGCCTGCTGACAATTATTGTCCAAAATGTATTAATCCAGAGTGTTATGAATCTTTGGTTAGGTGGTATTCGTATTCGAAAATGAGTTCAAACTGAGTAGACAAGGTCTGTGTCCTGAAATTTATACCTTCAGTTATTATGAGAACTAATAAAGAAATCTACTCCAAAGTGTTCTGCTGGTACCCTGAAGGGTTAACCTAACACCTATTTCTAGTCTTACCTGTACTATAGTTACCCTACCAAAAGAGAGCCTATAGTTATTTCACGGACTATATCACACCTTACCTGAACGATAATTACTCATATCCTGTCAAGAGCGCCTACGGATTTTACCTGGATTATATCACGGAGAATAGTACACATATTCTGTACGATGATTACACATATTGTGTTCATTTTGTTTTCTTCAAAACAAATAATGTTGAACACCCTAGGACGACATATAGCGGCACAGTTTAAAAAATACGGAGGCCCGCTATGATATTTCCTAGAAAGTATAGCACACCTGACGTAATAAATTAATGTTGTGGCTGTATTTATAATGCTTTTTTTCATTATTGATAGTAAATATGTCTGGGAATATATAAGCTATAACATAAAACATAAAAAATCATTATATGTGCATTTTTGTAGTCAGAATGAGATAAACATCAAGGCACGGTACGATAATTTCTGAATTTGCCGATACGGTTATATATAATATTGGTTCATAACGGTTGATTATGAAAATAAACTTTGTTAAAATATCATTTTTTAACCTAGGTTAAAGTATTTGTACAAAACAAATTAATGTTGAATACCCTAGGACGACATATAGCGGCACAGTTTTAAAAACACGGAGGCCCGCTATGATATTTCCGAGAAAATACATCACACCTTACGTAATAAATTAATGTTGTTAGCTATTATTTAAACCATAATAAAATCATTAAATGTGTATTTCTGTAGTCAAAATGAGATAAATATCAAGGCACGGTACGAAAAATTCTGAATTTGCCGATGCGGTAACATAAAATATTGGTTCATAACGGTTGATTATAAAAATAAACATTATTATAACATTTTTCGACTTAAGTTGTATTATTGTACAAAATAAACTAATGTTTAACACCCTAGAACGACATAAAGCGGCACAGTTTAAAAAAACCGGAGGCCCGCTATGATATTTTCGCGACAATACATCACACCTGACGTAATAAATTAATGTTGTTGCTGTATTGGTAATTCTATCTCTCTCCTTATTGATAATAACCAAGCGCCATTGACAAAATATGAGTAATTATCGCACAGGTAAGGTGTGATGGACACAGTGATATAATCCAGGTAAGTTCCGTAGGCACTATTGACGGGAAACGAGTAATTATCGTACAGGTAAGGTGTGATGGACTCAGTGATATAATCCAGGAAATGCCGTTGGCGCCATTGACGGGAAACGCGTAATTATCGTAGAGGTAAGGTGTGATGGACACCGTGATATAATCCAGGTAAGTTCCGTAGGCACTATTGACGGGAAACGCGTAATTATCGTACAGGTAAGGTGTGATGAAATTGTCGGAAATACTCGCCTTACCTGTGCTATTATCACAATTATCTTAGGTGACAGTTGACATGAGATTAACGCTTCTCAATAGAGGATAACTCAATCATTACTATAAAATCCGGGACCGAATCGTTTCAAATCAGTTCGTTCTTCGATTCGAAACCGAACACAACTCTTTGTTGCATTGAAGTTTCTTTGCGATTTTTCCATACCTATTTGCGAATTTATTCAATCTTTCAACACAGAGACGTTGTCGTCTCAGTCTGTACTCATTCTTGAATACGAACAAAGTACTCTTGATTTATTTTGAATATATTTTTAAATTATAAATTTAAATTTTGTTTTCAAATACATTTAAGAATCATGCATAAAGTGATGAAGATTTCTAGAAAGCTTGTTACAGGAAATAGAAGGAGAAACGACGAAGGAGATTCTGCAGACGAAATTGTCAATCTGGAGGACAATCAAATCAATGACGAGGAACAAGATGTGGAATGTGTGAAAGTAATGGAAGGTAATAAAACTGAAGCAAATAATTGATATCTGAAAAACGATTATTACTTCTTAAATAGCTATATTTTTGAAAGGTAAAAGTTATTAATATAGAATCATCACCAACAATTGTATATATAATGTTCGTTGTATGTGCGTAAATTCCCGAGTATTTAGTAAGTTGAATTAAAAGGAATATTTGACTTGGAAATACAAACTTGGATGCACATGTATTTTTACTATGTTTTATTGCTTCATGCCGTTACTCCTATAATGTTATACCTAACAGATCAAGAGGGAACCACTTGCGGAACCGAAGAGGAAAAAAACGCTAACGAAGGAAAAGTACAACCCATATCAGGTATGACTGTATTTCTTATTTTCCAATTCTGTTTTCTCTGTGTTGTCAATAGCATGCTCATACAACCTTTCCATACGGCGCATGGGTGTTGTGAATAAACCGTTACGCTAAATTGAAAGCTCAAAGATTCTTGCAAAGTTCTAGATTTATTGAGTGATTTATTTATAATTGATGAATTTACTAAACACTGATATATCATTTCATTAGAAAATTATTTGAACCACATAGATCAGCATACATCACAATGCAGATTTTAATGTAGATTTCAGTACTGGTTGTTGTCTGCTAGCGCAAAACGTGTGTGGAACACGTGTGTAGCCAAAAAAATCATCATTTCAAGAAATTTATCTTCAAAACGCCTTTGTATTTGTAACTCTGTTGATGAAGTGAGACAAATTCAAACTTACATAGCAGCCTATATTGCTGGGGAAATGTCATTAAAACCTGTGGATGTATGAAAACTTGGTTGTGATTTTCGAGTGAGCCTGGTTTTAGCAACCACTTGTCTTAAGCGGCCAAGTTCTGCCGGTCCCTTGGGTGGCCTCTTAATACAGGTTTGACTGTATTTCTTAAATATATTTACTTTTAGGACAAAAGAAGAAACACACACACCATTCATATCTATATTGCACGTGGTGCTATGAATTGGTTACAGATGTGAAACGACACATGTTGCAACGATGTAAGGAAAGGATGAATCATCTTCAAGGGAATGACCAGGACAAAGAAATTTACGAGTCTGCCATAGACGAAGAAAGAAAAACTATAAAAAACTTTTTGTTTAATATGTGCATTAGCCCTGATGAATTTGAGGATAGGTCTTATAGCAAAAATGAGCTGCTGGAACTTTTTATGGAATACGGACATATCGTTGTACCTGAGAGGTTTGCTGCGACCTTCAAGCCACCACAACGATTTCGAAGTAGTCTGGCTACGGGATTATTTCCAACCGCTTGTTCAAGGGAAATTCAAACCAGTTTCACGAACGGAAATGACAAAAATGAACCACCAGCAGCATCCAACAGCCACACTTCATCGCGGAGAAAAGAGCCTAGCGGTCAAGAAGCATCAAGGACAAAACCAGACCCAACAACAAGGAGCAACACCCCATCCAAGCGTTCGAGGAGGAATATCGACACCAGCGACGACATGATATCAAGCATTGAGGAACCAGAACAGGCAACAAAGAGTTACACCCCATCGAAGAGATCAAAGAGACATACCGACACCAGCACCGACGAGATGGGCACAGACCAGGAAGACAACGAGGAACAACAGATCAAGACGATAAGTACAAATATTATACAGAGACTGAGGTATTCTAACAACGGAACACTGATGAAGACTGAGGTACCAGCAAAAGAGGACGTTTTAGATAAATTTCATGTCTCCGGAGAAGCAGCAGTGAAAATAATAAGAAGAATACGCTATTTCAAACAAAAGGTACACAAGTTATTCATATTTTAAAACTTAATAAAATCACGTCTTTGCCAATAAAAAAAGGATATTACCTAAAAAGAATTAGGTCAGGATCAAATAAAACTTTCTTCAATGTTTTAATGTTTTATCTATGTTCTCGTAGAAATTATGTTTGTTTTTGTTATCGTAGTGTTACATTTTAGTATCAATTTGTCTTTCTTACAGGACGAGCTATTGGAAATAGCGCATGGAGTTATTGCGAGAGAGTCGCAGAAGAAACACAAGAAGATATCCGACCTTCAAACCCCCTCCATAAACGTGCAGGACCCAAAATTTAAATCTATTGTGACAAAGGTATTTACCAAAGAGACCTGAATGTTCATAAGTTACTATACTTCTACTGACATCCTTTTCACATTTATAGTAATTCGTTATTTCATTATCTGTTGTTAATAATTATGTGATTGACAAATTTATATTTTTTCTTTCCCTTTCAAGGTATGCGGCGAAAAGAAAGGGGGTAAAAAAACGGAAAAGGACAGGATCATCGACCGGAAGAATAAGAAGACCATCACCATATTAATGGATGAAATTATCAACAAGGAGAGGAGCAAAGCGAAAACAATGACGGACCAGGAGATCATGCAGCATCTATATAAACAGGATTGGCCTCACTGCAAGAAGGCCTACCATTCGGTCAAAGGGAAGATTGTATGCAATGGTTTGCATTCAATCCCGGCGGGTACCATTGTGTGCGACTACCATGGGAATCATATAACACACACACAAGGAGAACAGCGCCTAAGGAGCATCGAAAAAGACGAAGATGCCAAGCACATGCTCTTTTACAGGCACCCTGTCAACGGCAAACGGATGTGTGTCGATGCCGCCACAATTCCCTGTCTCTGCCACCTCGGCATGAAATCAGGAACCATGAGCAGACTCATAAGTCACTCTGCAACTGCACCAAATTTGAAAGCTGTCGCCAGAGTGATAGGGGGACACCCATGTGTGCTACTTATTGCCACGGAGGTATGTATAAGTATGAAATTGAAAAGAATTGAAATTATATTTTAAAATATAAACTTAATTAATTTAACAACAATTATGAAACAAATTATTTCAACTTTGATTAAACACTCATGTTGGCCCGGACGTTAGCGCGTGGGGGTCTTAGTGTGGGAGGAAACCGGAGTACCCGGAGAAAACCCACGTGGTCGGGCAGGTGACCCCAACTTTTTCACTTCCGATCGGGGAATCGAACACCAGCCGCCTTGGTGAAAGGCAAGTGCGCTATCCACTGCACCACCCGACAACCCAATTATTTTTTGTTTTCTTATAGCCGACTTATTAATGCAATGTCATTTCATCTACTTTTTAGGTAATAAAGAACAGTGCAGAGTTCTTATTTGATTACGGAGTCCGACCGAGTCCGACCGGAGAAAAGATATCTTGGTTGCAAAAATGAATATTATAATACTGATTAAATCATTAAGTCAGTATTGCAATATGCATTTTCTACAACCAAAATGGATAAGTACACATTTCAATATAAAAAAATGCTATAATTTCCTTAAATATTTAGACAGAGAGATAATAATATGCTTGAAATGTTTGTAACTATCTCCTCTTCATTTTAATGTATAGTTTGTATGGCTAAAAAGCATAAATAAAAAGTGGGTCCAATACTGACCAGTCGTTTTTGCCAAATATGGCGGAGAAATCCTAATTTTCACATTATAAAAAATGTTATAATTTCCTTAAACATTAAGATAGCGAAACGCCAGTATGCTTGAAATGTTTTTAAACATCACCTTTTCACTTTAATGTATAGTTTGTATGGCTAAAATGCATAAATAAAAATATTGAGTCCAATACTAACCAGCGTTTTTTGCCTAATATGGCGAATAAATCCAAATTTTCACATAATAAAAAAGGCTGTATTTCCTTATATTTCATTTTCCAACTTATATTCCAATATATTCTTTTCAAACAGGTGGTAAGTTACCTGTTTCGTATGGACCTCCCTTGGCATAATCATTTCAAGAAGTGAGATTTATCGAAACATATTTTGATAGATATGTTATTTCTTCTCGACATACTATAATTTCCTTATATTTTATTTTCCAACTTATATTCCAATATATTCTTTTCCAACAGGTGGTAGGTAACCTGTTTCGTATTGACATCCCATGGCATTATCATGTCGAGAAGTGAGGTTTATCTAAATATTGTTTTATAGATATGTTATTTTTTATTTCATGTATGTATATCTATATATTTTGTCGTTTCCAATAACTCGTAAGTATAAGTTTTTTTTCGACATATTATGTATTAAGAGTAATATGAGTTTAATATTAGTATTACCATTACATATGCCGCTATTTTTTTTTTAAAGTGTCATTATATTAATTATGTTTTTGTATCTACCTCTTTTATCCCAAACAGCTTGTAAGAATTAGTTGTCAATGGAACTCCCGTGCAATAATAAAGGCAAACGGTGTGGGTCACCTTAACGACTTCTTTATTTCTTTATCTGAAATGTTCTCTTTTTTTCTTTTTCCGTCAGATGGGCTGATGAAAGCAGGGTCCCCGTCCCCAGCCCGGGTGGAGATATCTGTCATACAATATTAAATAAATATATGTATATAATGACAGATATCTCTAGCAAATGCTTTCAATATTCAATTTTTGCAAGTTTTAAAGAAAAAATATAATTTACTGATCACAATTACACTCCTTTAATTTTGTTTTTATACAATTCATCTATACAAACACCATAACTACATATCAAAATATAGATCGATCTTTCAAAAAAATTAAGTATATTACAATTTCTGTATTTTACATTTTAAGCATTCAGTTCTCTTAGTAATTACTACTGACGTAAAAACTTGAACCAATGTCAGATTTTGACATTATATTAAACTTTAATTCTATAATTAAATGTTACCAGCCAATATCATAAAAACCGTCTCGGCTTAATAGAAAATAATTATGCCATGCTTTTCTATTTCTCGCCCTTTTTGACTACAAAATTACACACATAATGATTTATCTAGTTCACATTTAAGCATTGAACTGTTTTTGTATGGTATTCATGATCTATTTAATAGATCATAAATACCATACAAAAACAGTTCAACACTGACATATTTACAGTAAAAGAATATTAAATAGTGTAGTATTGCATATTTGTGTATAAGAATGGTCTTTATTTCCCTATGGAATGCATTTAACAATTAACATACACAAACAAAACGTCAGATTTCTAGATTAACACTGGGAAAAACGCGTATAACCACACAAAAAGTTCTTCCTAATTCAAGCGTCTGAAAAGTTGACAAGTCTATTGCCGTAATCGGCTGGGTCCTGAAAGGGGATCCTGATGACGCGTGTTCCATATTTCGTCCTTAACATGGCGTTCCTCTACTTGTTGAACGATTCTGCAGTAAGTCCAGATGCTTTGCTAAAATCTCCTCGTCTACACATTTCGTCGATATACACTGCTGCACTCTTCTCTGTAAGTGTTTCCTTGAACTCTGTAAGCCGGATGAAAATCTCTCTAAGGGTTGCATTGAGTCCTGCCGAATATCGTTTCCAGGTAGATGACTAAGACAGCGTCCGCATCAAACTCCCTCAAGTCTGTCATCATCCAATTGTTACACCCGAAAAATATTTTTGATTAATGTTTTGTATTATTCCAAATACAAGTCGGACAAGGTATGGTTTTATTTTCAGAAATGATTCATCAAAGTAAAAATTACTGCTAGTTTTTCCAGCGCTGAGTGTCAGGTTTTGGCAGTGATACATGGACGAGGATCCTTAAAAAAAAGGGTCACACAAAACAATCGGAACATAAACGGAACCTTGTACCACTCCTCGTGGAAGCTACAAAAACGGAACCTTGTAGTATACCTTATGATGTACAGGACGAAAACGGAACCCTGTAGAACACAAACAAAATAGGTAAAGTATTTCTAAAACGAAAAGGTCAATTCGACCGCATTTATTTCATACTTCTGGATGTCATGTCAGTTTATGGATCAATGTACATTACACTAACCGCCAATTCGTGATGTTATTTAATTTGCATGTCTATGTCATGCCGGCCCCGTCATCCTTAGTCACGTCTTCATAATTATTTTGATGTAAGGTATTGTTTGGTTTTATTTTGTTGCACGTCCTGCCAACAACCTAAGGTAATTTAAGAACATGTCTCCATGTGTATGGAAGCCGTAGACCGGGTACGTTGGTATAATTCCCTCCTTGTGATACCGCTTTAAGGACCTGCCAATATGGCCACCACTCCAAACTGTATATCAAGTTCAATAATGCACTCCGTTAGCATTAAACAATACCTGTCACAAAATAATCCTCCATTATATCTCAAACATGATTGAGTTACATGCACACTAAATTGCAGAAAATAGCATTCAATAACTGATGAAAAACTCACTTTTTATATGTACATTTTCCAAGCTAAATAAAAGTTACTATTCAGGAAATAAATATTCAAACTTGTAAATATCATAAGGTTGGATGTCCATTGAGATGCATTTGTCGAGGAAATTGTAAGAAAATGTGTCGAATCTCCAGAATAATAAGTAGTAGAAACTACCATTTCTAAAGACGTTAAGCAGGAGTAGAAACTACCATTGGTAATTTCGTATCTAGAATTGTTCTTGAAATAATTTCCTAAAATTTCGTTTGGTCACCGGCGGCGAGAGACCGCAGTAACATCCTGCGGGGGCTCCCGGCCGTTCTCACAAAGTTTTTTTTTCTCATAGTGCGGAAGTCCCAGGGAACCCAGATATTATTTGTTTTGTACTGAACTCCCATGGCCAATCCCCGACCGTTCTCAGAAAAAGATTTTTTTGGATTATTTTTCAGAAATTATTTGTTTTGTACTGAATTCCGGCCCGCGGCCAAGTGTGGCGAGGCTTCTTTAACAATTTGTTTAAAAGGTAGGGTCAACGCCTATGGAGATTTAACATTAGCGTCGCTGCTGCACATAACTTTAGAACATGCGTAATATAATAAACAGGTCTCGCACAAAGCTCAAAAGGAGTATATAACCTCAAGTGAGGTATATGTGCTCAATTGCCGTATGCTATTATACCCCAGTTGGTGTATCTTGAAAGTAATTAACATACGCCGTTCGAAGCATGCATAATCGAGAAACGACACCTGTTTTGCATGAATGACCAAGCTATTAGTGTCCAATAGACAGGCTCCACGATTTACCAAATTGTGAACTTTGTCTCGCAAAGCATGATTCAATTGTAAATTTACCTGTCTCTTCACCTGTACGTGTCAATAAAAGCCCTGTAAACTCCACTTAGCTTTCATTGTTTGTGTCGAACCTCCGTGAGCCAACCCCATCCACTCCACCAACGGCGGCATTTTACCGGAAGATAATTTGTAGCAAGTAAGTGTGAAACAAAGGCGGGTTAATAAGTCCGGATACGTAATTTGTAAAGTTTTGTATGGAGGACTTTACACGCCATGCAATGTTTTTAATAAATCTCAACACGTATCGTTTTTATATGTTTTCGTATGTACAATTAAGTACAGATACAGTTTCACCACGTTACATTAACATTTTATGATTTAGCGTCAAAACATTCTACTTATCAAGTCCAGTGTTGTATTTTTTGGACGTTCAGCATCAGTGTATCCGGTACTCGAGGGATCTCCTGAACACAGAAAGTAGCTTTGTACGTTGGTGGCATCACATAAAATGGTAATTATGCATTTGGTATTTATCATATTTATGGAGAAAAATAAAGACAAACACATAATATCAAGTGCACAGTACCTATTTCATTATTCGTACTTGCCTCCATCTTCAGATTAATCAACATCATTAAACTTCATCATCGTCATCGTCTTCATATTGATCGGGTGTGCATATGTTCTCTACAAATTATTGAAAATTGAAATAGTTTGCGTTGACCATATTTACATTGATATATAGCGACTATTCAGGGAGCATGCTTAATATAAGGCGATACAATATCTTCAAACAGAACACATCTTCGGAATTTCGGAAGCGCGTTAGGAAAAACAGTAATCCCGGAGGAAATGTAGCGGGTCAACCAGCAACATGCAAAACCTTCCATACGGGCAAAAGGTTGGTTAAACCTATTCAAGACCCAAAAGCATGACTTCTAACTCCCCTTTGGTTTTCCTGTTTGAGAAAGGTATTTGTAACTAACTGTTTACTTTTACTTAATGAACTTCTAATACATGAAAAATGAAAAACTAATTAATACATTATTTAAATGGCAACGTATGCCCAATACACACCTCGATATATGGTGAAATTTGGTGCGGTCGGCAGGTAGCACAAAAATTGGCGTCAATTTAGCTTTGCTCCCTTCACAGAACTTGTGGTTGTAAACCTTCCGGTTATCTTGGCAGTTGCGCTTAAAGTTTATCAAATCCTCGTCTAGCGCTTCCCCGGATATGCTGGTGTGTGTCCTCGTAACTGAAATTCAACACAAGTGCTTATGTTTGTCTTTATTTATCTTATACTTGTTAGATGGGTTGTTTTGCATACAATGTATGTGCTACTACCAACTATGCATAGCACACGCGACATCCGCCCGGTACGCGCTATATCCGTTGAACTTCCGGTTCATGAATTTTCACCAAAGAAATCGTCGTTTTCATCATATACTGAGCAACAGAAGCTGGTAGTGTACACACTTCATATCTATCTAGATTTATTATGACTTTCACTGTATCATATTTTAAGAAACAATATGATTACATTGAATATGAAATATAAAATAAGTTAACGCTTCATGTGTGAATACTAGAAATGCTATTGCATTTCAAGTACCTGGTGCTGATATTTCACCATATCAAAATGAAAATACAAGTTCGTATCCGAACTACCAAACTTTTTAGCAATCATCTGGTACAATGTTACCTTTCGGAGCTGACAAATAGCCACTGCTACGTAATATCAACCGCCATTGGAAGGTCTCCGTTGTAAGATCGGTGTGCTGCATATCTCGTTCCTTTTGTCCCAGATCAAACAACCCAAGAAGGTTAGCGCGGATCTTAAATCAAACGCCAAAATTTAAATTTACTTAATGTATGCTCTGATGTTTTATTGTTAATTAGGCAAAGGACTTGTTTGAAGCCACATGAAGTGAGGTGTCATTGGAAACAAAGAGCAGATCCGGTGAAAGTCTTCATTACCGCACAGATTATTTTGAGGTATTGCATGTATATACAATTTGTTACATATATTGGGGGATTACAGAGTGGATTTGAGGTTCATAATTTCTTAAACAAACTATTACGGCATTGTGGAAATATAGATATTAAAAGCCTGTTGAAACCCCTACCAATGCTTAACCATAAAATTGCTTATGTTGCAGAAATTACATCAGGAAGAATTGTCAGAGAAAACACCCCACAACAACATTTAATGACACCACCACCACCACCAACACCACCACAACGACCATCGGAACACAGACTGGTATACAGGGTGTTGCAGATGAGCAACATCCTAAAACACATTGCCAGTTATGTGGTTTAGATGATGACAAACCAGGAAAATGGTGTTGGATTGGTTGTGAAGCACCCGATTGTGAGTATTGGGTGCATTCCTTCTGCACCAACATCAATGTGAAAAATAAGAAATATTTAAAACATATTGAATTTTGGTGTCCAAATCACAATAAATTGTAATATCTAAAAAGGAGCTTTCAGTGTTGTTTATAGATGTACACCTGTTCGACTGGGCTCATGGGTTAATGTATTTTTAAAACTCTTTGTAGTGGCCAGTTATTGTATCTCAGATGATTGCGACTGTGTTGTTCAGTATTTTGATTAACTAATAATTATATAGCGAAGCGTAAAGTTATCAAGTGCGTTAATCTGTTACGTTAGCGCAGTTTAGCCTGTTCTATTACGTAAATGTCTAGGGTAGGAAAGGTAAACATTTATTGTTATGAATTGTTGTTTTAGGGTGTTACGACCATGGAATAAATTATATTGAATTGAAAGAAGGTGTTGATCATTGTTGGACAAGAACTTTTAAGCCACGACCGGCTACAGTACATATTGGACTGGTTGGTTCTTTGTGTCATGTAGTATTGTCTTCCTTCGGTTATGTTATGTTGGAGCAACAACACTTTTGATAATCCAAGGCATTTCATTAGCTAACAGCAAGGTTATCTGATTGGGTGAATTTCAATCCTACCTTGGGGTATAAATATAGGCGCAAACAGAGCAAAGCTCTCTCTTACTCTGGCAGTAAACGAAGACGGACAACTACAAAAAACATCGCGACCTAATGCAAAGTGCACGCATGTATTTAGTACTGACACATTGTGCAGGCTTTGTTGAGTTTTCGGTAAGTCTTCAAGCACAATCTTTGTATGTATTTATGAACATGAGTTATAATAGACATACGAGATATTATCACGGCTTACTGTGGCCTCGGAAGTGCATATAAGTTGACAAATATTGTTTTATCATTGTATGATCGTCAATAATCACCACTGCACTCGGCGGGATAGCTATTACTTTTACACATTGTGATACTACAATATAAAGGTTGGTATAGTAACTGCATTAATGTAAGAAATATATAGGGTATTTTGTACCTATTATTTACATCACATCTTATAACAATTACCGTATTCAGGACATTAATTTATAACTAACCTTAAGAATAATTATGTTTCATAGATTTTAGGGCGATTACCTCTTCTAATCTGTCGAAGTTCCTACACACTCTCAACCATCTCTGTTCCGTAGGTACTCCAGGCGGCATCCACATTTTGCATCGCCTGTTCTTCGCTTCCAGGATGAAGTCACCAGCTTCACCTTTGCTGTGATTACCGGAAACTGAAAAAGATTCAGTCGCTGCCAGGAAGTGTTTAACCTGTGGGGGTGCCTGAGCGCGAACCATTAAGTCCGTCAACTCTAGCTCTTGGTAGTGGGTCATGTTTAACCCATAGAAAAGGTCGGTAAAGGAAGCGCGACTACTCAGGATGACACTGCTGTTGTTGCGTCGAATCCCAGCACGGAAAACATAAACAGACAAAAGATATGTAAATACAATATCAACCATAAACAGGAAGTTTGGACTCGCAACATCCCTCATCCACACCATGAAGTCCACAGCCGACACTCCTACACCAGCTGCCATACGTTCTCTAAAGTATGGCAATAGAAGCTCGTCGGCCATGCCAAACAAAGCAATTTCCACCATCTGAAAACTTTTGTGGTGGTCAGATGCTGCATGGGCTGCCAGTTGAGCTTTAGGGCTTCGGTACCCCAGCATCTTGGCAATGTCTTTAAGGAAGACTTCCCATAGGAACTTGAATAGACCCTTGATCATATTTATTTCAATATGCCCCAGACCTGGTTGCAACAGGATGTTCCTAAATTTGCACAATATAGCAACATCAGTGATGGGAGCGACTACATGGTGTTTGTCTGCCAAGTGTGATTTGAGCTCGCACTCTCCGTAAAGCCGTTCACCACATCGTGGACATACGAAGACTTTGTTGATGAGACGTGAACCTGTAAATAAACATTGAAGGTAGTTTAATATCTAGGTACATATTCAAAATACTTAATTATCTTAATTATCACAATAACTTCTATATACTCGTAGGCGACCCCCCCCTCTCCCCCAAATAGCCTACAAAAGTAATGAACTGAGTATACGAAGATACTTAAATTTTCATTCATTTTTCATTGAATGTGTAGAGCTTAATGGGGAAGGGGGTTATCTGCCACGCCCCTCATTATATTGAACATTTTGTTTAAATTAACAACATTTCGAAAAGTCATTAGAAACAGACAGTCCATATTGCATGGACGATTGAAATTGTTAATACTTAACGTACTTATTGAACAGGAAGTAATTATTAGTGAAGTCCATGACCATACCTAATATGTAGGGTGATCCATCACAGCCAACCATGGTCCATTCCCTTTTTCCACAACACGTCTGCGCCTCTATGTGCTCTAGGACACGTTCCACTGACTCGTACGAGCATGGATTGACCATACAAGGGTTTCCCACGGCAACCTTTGGGGGGGACTGTGGATGTTTTGACGAGATGAAATTGTATGGGTCTGTATGTAGGAATGATGGTGATTGATTGCTGGTTTATGTTTTCTTTTTGCTGTTTTCTATGATGATGTCAATGTGGTCGTGTGTATGTGTATCGTGTTCCTGTTTCAGATGCTGAAGGCGGGAGTCTATGAAATGATGTTGAAGGGAAATGAATGATTGCTGACACGATTCCACACTGCGCGTGACCGTTTCCAATATGTTGACATTATCATTGGAAAGCCACCGAAATGGTGACAGTTGTGGATTATTTTGGATGGAGGATGAAGCAACAGGAATGATATGAATTATGTTGGTGATGACACTTAATTTTGCTTTTGCGTCGTAGCGAACGCGCCAGTTTCTAGACAAAACCCGATTGTTATCAAAATATGATACAACATCACCATTCTGGGGACATTGAACTGGGATGGTCGTGTAGGATTTGATCCAGTTTAATAGACACGAGTAGCTTCCGGATGGTGATGTCGCTGCATTTATTTGTACGGCACTCTTGCTCCCAGTTAGAAAATAAGTGATGAGTGATGATGAAAATGACAATGGCAACGTAATGTTAAAAGATGACGCTAAATATATCTGTTCGATGGCCTTCACAATAGCTAAACACTGAGGTATTGTTGGTGTCGAAATCAGAACATATTGAAGTCAAAAAACAAACCAGTAGTTTATTTTGCTTATGAAGCCACGACTGAGGGTTGTACATTTTAAGAAAATTGTCATCCTTATAACTTTCCTTTGCTGACATACAATCGGAGACAATTTTAGAAGATAAATGTTGCGCGAACGCCTGTGTAAGAGTGATCATGTCATTCTCTGGGATAACGTTTTTCTCCATCATGTGTATAACTTTTGTTAAATGTACTTCGTTATAAACTTCCTCATTTTCGTGTTGGGGCTGACCAAAGTTCAACTCGGAATGTTTTGCACACAATGTACATAGATATGTTGAAGTCTTGGAAAGGCAATTTTCCGAAATCAATGCCTGCACGATACATTTTCTAAATTTATTGGCAGAAATTCTAAAGATTTTATTGCCGTCATCCTCCTCGCAAGCAAACTGCGAGTGATTACGGCAACTACACTTTGGTTTCATCCTGTGGAAAAAAGTAGGAACTGCGTTACAAAATGTTAGTTTCACTTATTTAACGTTATGCATTAATTTAATTTGACATAATTATTAAGTATATTTAATTTTATTTTGTGTTTTACATCCAAGTTAATTTTTTGTGTTGTGTTCAAAATAAACATTGTACGGCAACTATGAGATACCGTATTTTTTGTGTTTATGACGTATCCGGACTTATTAACCCGCCTTTGTTTCACACTTACTTGCTACAAATTGTCTTCCGGTAAATTGCCGCCGTTGGTGGAGTGTATGGTGTTGGCTCACGAAGTTCCGACACAAACAATGAAAGCTAAGTGGAGTTTACAGGGCTTTTATTGACACGTACAGGTGAAGAGACAGGTAAATTTACAATTGAATCATGCTTTGCGAGACAAAGTTCACAATTTGGTAAATCGTGGAGCATGTCTATTGGACACTAATAGCTTGGTCATTCATGCAAAACAGGTGTCGTTTCTCGATTATGCATGCTTCGAACGGCGTATGTTAATTACTTTCAAGATACACCAACTGGGGTATAATAGCATACGTCAATTGAGCTCATATACCTCACTTGAGGTTATATACTCCTTTTGAGCTTTGTGCGAGACCTGTTAAATTGTTTTGGTATGATACAAAAACAGAAAATGTATCGGTATTTATCATAATACAGATTGATAGTCAAATCTTCAATATTATGTGAAATTGGGCATTGATCATGTTTGGCATACTAAAAAAGTACTTAACCGGTTTTTATATTACATTAAAACGATTCTGTAAACTGAATACATATGTGGGAAATTTTCAAAGATGTTTAAAGTGAAACTTTTGCAATATTTATCGGTCATTTTGTGAGGATACCCCCCCCCCCCCCCCTGTCATTCAACCTGTTGTTATGCAAGGAGGTCCACTACGGTTATTAGTAGTAATTATGAATAAACATTTATGCAGTTATTGATTATTTTTATGTATCTACATATGGCAAAAGAATAAAAGAAATCAAAGTGGGGGCCAAATGTTTACCTCACCTTTTTTTTTGGGGGGG